GATAAAATCGCAATTTTTTTCTCCATGAGGTAAAAAGGAGAAAGATGACTCTATTCGGTACTTTATCTCCTACACTACATTTATATTGAAAATGCAAACATGGTTGGAGGTTCACACAGTTAGTATAGCCGCCGGGTTCCCACCAAGAACCAAGGAACAACTTAAAAAGAAATGGGAGGACTTGTCGTCAGCCACTAAAGCCAAATACGCCAAACGAAAGAAGACTGGGGTGCAGGTGCAATAGAGTGGACTGATGGTGACGAGCTAATCACCGAGATACTCGGAAAAGAAAATCCCTTCCACGTATCTATAGTTGGTGGAATAGACTCTAGGGATAATATCCAAGCCAGAGAACACACCCTTGATGCTTCAAGTGGCGCCATTGAGAAACACAGCCTATCGTCAACTTCATCGTACCTTCGAGTAGGCCCAGATAGGGTGATTGAATGAGAAACTGGCTAGAGAACTTCGGAGAAGGAGTAAGAAGAAAGCCGTTTAAGGGAAGAACAAACAAAATAACTAAACTGTACCTGATTCCGACTCTGTTAGGGAACAAGGACATAGAGAAAGGAACATTAAGAAGATATATGAAGAGCATTTAAAAGAAGAGCATGATGTCAAAATGAGAATTCTGAAAAAGAAGGAACAGCGGCTTGATCTTAAGTTGCAGTTGTTTAGACGAAAACTTAACATTAACAAGTAGTTTAGAACCTGTGCAGATATTACATTAATAAACTCTTTTTTTATCATGTCGAAACTTCTCGGTCGAATAATTTTTTTTTGGTTAAATGACGACACACTTTTTTCTGTCTATATAAAACGTTATCTCAACCGGCTGAATTTCCCTAATCATCTAACAGAGGCTCAAGAGTGTTCGAAACGACCAGCTAATTTCTTTAAACCCATCGATGGTTAGCTTAAAAAAAATAGATTGGGTCACTAATAAAGTACTATATCAAAGTTACCTGTGCCCTTAAGTGAGCCCGTAAGTTACCACGTAAAACAGAAACTTACGATAGTGCTAAGTGCGTTCCATGCAACACCCGTAAGTGTCCCCATAACGGATTCGTAAGTGACCTACTTAAGTGAGCACTTAAGTGCAGGTTTTATGCAACCGGGCCCTGGTCACTGTTGTCACTGTTGTAGATGTTGTCACCATTGTCATTGTTGTCACTGTGGTCGCTGTTGTCAATGTTGTCACTCTTGTCGACGTTGTCTCCGTTGTCACTTTTGTCACTGTTGTCGCTGTTGTCACCGTTGTCGATGTTGTCACGGTTGTCACTGTTGTCTCTGTTGTCACCGTTGTCAATGTTGTCACTGTTTTCACTCTTGTCGATGTTTGTCATTTGTATCATTGATACAAATACGCCGATCTAGAGATCCATGTGTTAAATTCTTTATTTTAATTCTTTATCACTACGATGTTACAGAATTTCAACTAAAACCGAAGAAATATCCAATACGCTTCTCTGGTCTTCACAACGCTAGCAACCGAGCACGCACGACATTGTGAGATGTCTAATACGTATACTTCTGGTTGACTTACACAACCTAAACATCCGGTTTAATACATCACATCCCTCCTTTGTCTCTTCTTAGAGCATAACGTCCTAAATGAAACGAGTACGAAGAGTTAAATACTGGATAAAGAAATTATGTTCACTTCTATAACATGATTAACAGGGTAAAGCTGCAAGACGCTCAGCCAGTAACAAAGTCCAGTCATGCCTTTGACAGTTCATAATCATCAAATCGTTTAGGAAGTCTAATAGTTCGAGTTGCACTTGGGCTTGTTTGAAGTACAGTTGAACTTGGGTAAACTGTGTGCTGCACTGAAATTAGGCTTTCAATTAGCTAGCTAGTGATTCGCTGGCTAGTAATTGGCTGAAGTGGTGTCACTGATTCAAATCGGTTAGCAATTGGCTGAAGTGGTAGCATTAATTCTGAAGTTCCATTCTCCTGGTACTTCTTAACAAACGACGCATTCCGTTTTATTTCCACAGCATCATTCTTACTTAATGTGACTTCTCGTCTATTTCTGTCTATGACTTCAGAAGCGCTGGGGTCGTAGTTTGGAGGCAGTTTGTTTGTTTTGGTGTTTGTCAATAATCACTGATCTCCAACTTTCAATTGACCCTCAACTGCATGATTCCTTGTGTCCACGTAATCTTTCTGTGCCAGCTTTCTTAACCAGTCCCAGTCACGCATTTCTTCATTGGTGATGGTCCCTCACGTCTCCACTCTGGCAAATTCGACCGCACTTTTCTCCCGCACATTAAGAACAATAGTGTTACACCAGTTGTCATTTGAGGACTTGACCTGTGCAGAGTTACAAATTTGTGAGGCTCTTGTCGCAAAATCTTTTCCTTCAATTCGGGCTCCCCCATCAGATGTTCCATTGCTCCACCATCAGATGTTCTACTGTTCCACCATCAGATAATTCACTGTTTCACCATTACATGTTCCACTGTTCCACCATCTGATGTTCTACTGTTCCACCATCAGATGTTCCACTGTTCCACCATTAGATGTTTCACTGTTCCACCATCAGTTGTTCTACTGTTAAACCCTCAGATGTTCCACTGTCCCACCGTCTATGTTCAACTGTTCCACCATCATATAATCTCCTGCCTCACCATCAGATATTCTACTGTTCCATCATCTTTGTTCCACTGTTCCACCATCAGATGTTCCACTGTTCACCCATCAGATATACTACTGTTGCAACATCAGATGTTCCACTGTTCCACCATCAGATGTTCCAACGTTCCAACATCTCTTTTCCACTGTTCCACCATGAGATATTCTACTGTTCCATCATCAGATGTTCCACTGTTCCACCATCAGATATTCTACTGTTGCACCGTTCCACCGTTCCATCATCAGATTTCCACTCTTCCACCAACGGAAGTTCTATAGTTCCAACACCTAAGTGGCACTGCTCCACAATCACATGTTCCACTGTTCCATCATCTCTGTATAATTCTTAAATTATCAAATGTCCCACTGTTCCACAATCAGATGTTCCCCTGTTCCACCATCTCTGTTCCACTGTTCCACCATGACATGTTCCACTGTTCCACCATCTTATGTTCCACTGTTCCGCCATAAGATGATCTACTGTTCCACATTCTCTGTTCTACTGTTCCACCATTGGATGTTTTACTGTTCCACCATCAGATGTTCCACTGTTCCACCNTAATACGTATACTTCTGGTTGACTTACACAACCTAAACATCCGGTTTAATACATCACATCCCTCCTTTGTCTCTTCTTAGAGCATAACGTCCTAAATGAAACGAGTACGAAGAGTTAAATACTGGATAAAGAAATTATGTTCACTTCTATAACATGATTAACAGGGTAAAGCTGCAAGACGCTCAGCCAGTAACAAAGTCCAGTCATGCCTTTGACAGTTCATAATCATCAAATCGTTTAGGAAGTCTAATAGTTCGAGTTGCACTTGGGCTTGTTTGAAGTACAGTTGAACTTGGGTAAACTGTGTGCTGCACTGAAATTAGGCTTTCAATTAGCTAGCTAGTGATTCGCTGGCTAGTAATTGGCTGAAGTGGTGTCACTGATTCAAATCGGTTAGCAATTGGCTGAAGTGGTAGCATTAATTCTGAAGTTCCATTCTCCTGGTACTTCTTAACAAACGACGCATTCCGTTTTATTTCCACAGCATCATTCTTACTTAATGTGACTTCTCGTCTATTTCTGTCTATGACTTCAGAAGCGCTGGGGTCGTAGTTTGGAGGCAGTTTGTTTGTTTTGGTGTTTGTCAATAATCACTGATCTCCAACTTTCAATTGACCCTCAACTGCATGATTCCTTGTGTCCACGTAATCTTTCTGTGCCAGCTTTCTTAACCAGTCCCAGTCACGCATTTCTTCATTGGTGATGGTCCCTCACGTCTCCACTCTGGCAAATTCGACCGCACTTTTCTCCCGCACATTAAGAACAATAGTGTTACACCAGTTGTCATTTGAGGACTTGACCTGTGCAGAGTTACAAATTTGTGAGGCTCTTGTCGCAAAATCTTTTCCTTCAATTCGGGCTCCCCCATCAGATGTTCCATTGCTCCACCATCAGATGTTCTACTGTTCCACCATCAGATAATTCACTGTTTCACCATTACATGTTCCACTGTTCCACCATCTGATGTTCTACTGTTCCACCATCAGATGTTCCACTGTTCCACCATTAGATGTTTCACTGTTCCACCATCAGTTGTTCTACTGTTAAACCCTCAGATGTTCCACTGTCCCACCGTCTATGTTCAACTGTTCCACCATCATATAATCTCCTGCCTCACCATCAGATATTCTACTGTTCCATCATCTTTGTTCCACTGTTCCACCATCAGATGTTCCACTGTTCACCCATCAGATATACTACTGTTGCAACATCAGATGTTCCACTGTTCCACCATCAGATGTTCCAACGTTCCAACATCTCTTTTCCACTGTTCCACCATGAGATATTCTACTGTTCCATCATCAGATGTTCCACTGTTCCACCATCAGATATTCTACTGTTGCACCGTTCCACCGTTCCATCATCAGATTTCCACTCTTCCACCAACGGAAGTTCTATAGTTCCAACACCTAAGTGGCACTGCTCCACAATCACATGTTCCACTGTTCCATCATCTCTGTATAATTCTTAAATTATCAAATGTCCCACTGTTCCACAATCAGATGTTCCCCTGTTCCACCATCTCTGTTCCACTGTTCCACCATGACATGTTCCACTGTTCCACCATCTTATGTTCCACTGTTCCGCCATAAGATGATCTACTGTTCCACATTCTCTGTTCTACTGTTCCACCATTGGATGTTTTACTGTTCCACCATCAGATGTTCCACTGTTCCACCATCTCTGTTTCACTGTTCTAACATCATATCTTCTACTCTTCCACCATGAGATGTTCCACTGTTCCACCTTCGGATGATCTACAGTTCCACATTGTCTGTTCCACTGTTCCACCGTCTCTGTTCCACTGTACCACCATCAAATATTTTACTGCTACACCACCAGATGTTCCACTGTTCCATCATCATATGTTCCACTGTCCCACCATCAGATGTTCCACTGTTCCACCATCAGATGATCAACTGTTCCACATTATCTGTTCCACCATCATATGTTCCACTGTTCCACTGTCAGATGTTCCACTGTTCCACCATCAGATGTTCTACTGATCCACCATCAGATGTTCCACTGTTCCACCACCAGATGATCTACTGTTCCCCTTTTTCTGTTCCACTGTTCCACCATCAAATGCTTTACTGTTCCACCATCTCTGTTCCACTGTACTACCATCAAATGTTCTATTGTTCCACCGTCAGATGTTCCACTGTTCCACCATTAGAGGTTCTACTGTTCCATCATGATTGTTCCACTTTTCCATCATCAGATGTTCCACTGTTCCAGCATCAGATGTTCTACTCCTCCACCATCAGGTCTTCTACTGTCCCACCATTAGGTGTTCTAATGTTCCACCATCTGTGGTCCACTCTTTCACCTCTTCTTTTATGCTGTTCCACCATCAGATGTTCCACAGTTCCACCATCTCTGTTCCACTGTTCTAACATCATATCTTTCACTGTTCCACCATGAGATGTTCCACTGTTCCACCATCAGATGATCTACTGTTCCACATTGTCTGTTCCACTGTTCCACCATCATATGTTCCACTGTTCCAACGTCAGATGTTCCACTGTTCCACCATCAGATGTTCCATTGTTCCACCATCATATGTTCCACTGTTCCAGCATCAGATGATCTACTGTTCCACATTATCTGTTCCACTGTTCCACCATCATATGTTCTACTGTTCCACCATCAGATGTTCCACTGGTTCACCATCAGATGATCTACTGTTCCACATTGTCTGTTCCACTGTTCCACCATCATATGTTCCACTGTTCCAACGTCAGATGTTCCACTGTTCCACCATCAGATGTTCCACTGTTCCACCATCATATGTTCCACTGTTCCAGCATCAGATGATCTACTGTTCCACATTATCTGTTCCACTGTTCCACCATCATATGTTCTACTGTTCCACCATCAGATGTTCCACTGGTTCACCATCAGATGATCTACTGTTCCACTGTTCCACCATCATATGTTCCACTGGTTCACCATCAGATGATCTACTGTTCCACATTGTCTATTCCACTGTTCCACCATCTCTGTTCCACTGTACCACCATCAAATATTCTACTCTTCCACCATCAGATGTTCCATTGTTCCACCGTCAGATTTTCCATTGTTTCACCGTCAGAAGTTCCACTGTTCGACCATCAGAGGTTCTACTGTTCCACCATGATTGTTCTACTCTTCCACCATCAGATGTTCTACTTTTTTACCATCTTTGTTCCACTGTTCCACTATTAGATGTTTCACCGTTCCACCATTAGATTTTTTACTGTCCCACCATCAGGTGTTCTAATGTTCCACCATCTATATCCCACTGTTTCACCACCTCTGTTACGCTGTTCCAGCATCAGAGGTTCTACTGTTCCACCATCAGGTGTTCTAATGTTCCACAATCTATATTCCACTGTTTCACCTCCTTTGTTACGCTGTTCAACTGTTCCACCATCAGATGTTCCACTGTTCCACCTTCAGATGTTCCACTGTCCCACCACCAGATGATCTACTGTTCCACATTGTCTGTTCCACTGTTCCACATTCAGATGTTCCACTGTTGCACCATGATTGTTCCACTTTTCCGTCATTAGATTTTCCATTGTTCCAGCATCAGATGTTCTACTCTTCTACCATCAGGTGTTCTACTGTTCCACCATTAGGTGTTCTAATGTTGCACCATCTGTGTTCGACTCTTTCACCACCTCTGTTATGCTGTTCCACCGTCAGATGTAATAGTGTTCCACCATCTCTGTTCCACTGTTCTAACATCATATCTTCCACTGTTCCACCATCAGATGTTCCACTGCTCCACCATTAGATGTTCTACTGTTTCACCATCAGGAGTTCTCAAACTTTATATCTTTCACTGTTCCTTCATCAGATGTTCCACTGTTCCACCATCCTTTTTCCACTGTTCTAACATCATATCTTCCACTGTTCCACCATAAGATGTTCCACTGTTCCACCATCAGATGCTCCACTGTTCCACCATCAGATGATCTACTGTTTGACATTGTCTGTTCCACTATTCCACCATCTCTGTTCCACTGTACCACCATCAAATATTCTACTGTACCACCATCAGATGTTCCATTGTTCCATTGTCAGATGATCCACTGTTCGACCATCAGAGGTTCTACTGTTCCACCATGATTGTTCCACTGTTCCATCATCAGACGTTCCACCGTTCCAGCATCAGATGTTCTCGTTATCCATCAGCAGATGTTCTACTGTTTCACCATTAGATGTTTCACCGTTCCACCATCAGATGTTTTACTGTCCCACCATCAGGGGTTTTAATGTTCCACCCTCTATGTTCCAATGTTTCACCACTTCTGTTACGCTGTTCCAGCATCAGATGTTCTACTGTTCCACCATCAGATGTTCTCCTGTTCCAATACCAGATGATCTGCTGTTCCACATTGTCTAATCCACTGTTCCACCATCTCTGTTCCACTGTTCTACCATCAAATTTTCTATTGTTTCACCATTAGATGTTCCACTGTTCCACCGTCAGGTGTTCCACTGTTCCACCATCAGATGTTCTACTGGTCCACCATCAGAAGATCCACTGTTCCACCACCAGATGATCTACTGTTCCACGTTGTCTGTTCCACTGTTTCACCATCATATGCTTTACTGTTCCACCATCTCTATTCCACTGTACTACCATCAAATGTTCTATTGTTCCACCATCAGATGTTCCACTGTTCCACCATCAGAGGTTCTACTGTTCCATCATGATTGTTCCACTTTTCGATCATCAGATGTTTCACCGTTCCAGCATCAGATGTTCTACTCCTCCACCATCAGGTGTTCTACGGTCACACCATTAGGTGTTCTAATGTTCCACCATCTGTGGTCCACTCTTTCACCACTTCTTTTACGCTGTTCCACCATCAGATGTTCCACTGTTCTAACATCATATCTTCTACTGTTGCACCATGAGATGTTCCACTGTTCCACCATCAGATGATCTACTGTTCCACATTATCTGTTCCACTGTTCCACCATCATATGTTCCACTGTTCCACGGTCAGATAATCCACTGTTCCACCATCAGATGTTCCACTGTTCCACCATCATATGTTCCACTGGTTCACCATCAGATGATCTACTGTTCCACATTGTCTATTCCACTGTTCCACCATCTCTGTTCCCCTGCACCACCATAAAATATTATACTCTTCCACCATCAGATGTTCCATTGTTCCACCGTCAGATTTTGTATTGTTCCACCGTCAGATGTTCCACTGTTCGACCATCAGAGGTTCTACTGTTCCACCATGATTGTTCTACTCTTCCACCATCAGATGTTCTACTTTTTTTACCATCTTTGTTCCACTGTTTCACTATTAGATGTTTCAGCGTTCCACCATTAGATGTTCTACTGTCCAACCATCAGGTGTTCTAATGTTTCACCATCAGATGTTCCCCTGTTTCACCATCAGATGTTCCACTGTTCCACCATCAGATGTTCCATTATTCCACCATCACATGTTTCACTCTTTAACCATCTCTGTTCCTTTGTTCCATCATCAGATGTTCCACTGTTCCAGCATCATATGTTCCACTATTGATCGATCTCTGTTCGACTGTTCCGACATTAGATGTTCAACTGTTCAACCATCTGTGTTCCACTGTTCCACCATCAGATGTTCCACTTTTCCACCATCAGATGTTTCTCTGTTTCACCATCTGATGTTCTACTGTGGTAATATGATTGTTTCACTCTTCCATCATCAGATCTTTTACTCTTCCACCAACGGACGTTCTTCAGTTCCACCACTTAAGTTGCACTGTTCCACCATCACATGTCCCACTGTTCCATTATCAAATGTTGCACTGTTCCACAACCAGATCTTCCACTGTTCCACCATCTCTATTCCACTGTTCCACTATCACATGTTCGACTGTTTGACCATCATATGTTCCACTGTTCCACCATTAGATGTTCTGCTATTACACAATCTCTCCTCCACTGTTCCACCATCATATCTTCCACTGTTCCTCCATGAAATGTTCCACTGTTCCACCATCATATCTTCCACTTTTCCACCATCAAATGTTCTACTGTCCTACTATCAGATGTTCCACTGTTCCACCATCAGATGTTCTACTTTTCCACCACCAGGTGTTCTAAAGTTCCACTATCTGTGTTCCACTGTTTCACCAGTTCTGTTACGCTGTTCCTTCATCAGATGGTCCACTGTTCCACCATCTCTTTTGCACTGTTCCACCATCAGATTTTCTATTTTTCCACCATCAGATGTTCACCAGTCCACCTCCTCAGAGGGGGTTCTTACTTTAAGGGGTCTTACAACCAGTGGTTCTTACAACCAGGGGTTTTTATAACCAGGGGTTCTTACAACCGTGGGTTCTTACAACCAGGGGTTCTTATTACAAAGGTTCTTGCAATCAGTCTTTCATCCAGGGGTTTTACAACCAGCGGTTCGTACAACCAAGGGTTCTTACAACCAGGGGTCTTACATCCAGGGCTTGTTACTACAAGGGTTTTTACAATCAGGGGTTCTTTCATCCAGGGGTCTTACAGGCAGGGGTCTTAGAACTAGAGGTTCTTTCAACCATGGTTTCTTAGAACTTGGGGTCTTATAGCCAGATGTTCTTACATCCAGGGGTCTTACAAGCAGGGGTTCTTACAACCTGGAGTCTTATAACCAGGGGTTTTAATATGCAGGCCTGTTTCAAACAAGGGGTTGTTACCACTCATGCTCAGTGCAAAGTGACTTAAAGCTTTAATAGTAAAAATAGAATCGAGTAAAAATCAAGGCAACATCATACACAAACTTGAGAGCTGAAAAAACTGACAAACTATAAACGCTATACATCTTGGTCCTTCTTCTGCTTGCATCTTTCGTCCAAAATACGATCATAAGTTTGTTACATAACCCCTTCGCCTTCTAATAATAGCACAAAGAAACATAGCTATTCAAAATATTTAAGTCACTTGAAAAACCTGCGGAGTAGCTGTGCTTCTTAGACTACGACAGCCTCTTATTTTAGACATTAATAGTTAAGCTCTTTTAAAATGTCTTGAAATTTTATTTATCTTCTGGTTTAAACAAAGCTGTCTAAAAAAACGAAAAAAAACGCCAAAACCGCAAAAAAGACAACAATATCTTTTAAAAGCGGCCCCCCTTACCTCAAGGTTTGGATCCGCCACTGCCTTTAATTAACCACGGAAAGTGAAACTCGAGACGATAATAGCAACCGCGTGACACCAACAGTGAAATGCAAGACAAACCATTTAACATAAAGCATTGTGAAATTTACGGGCACAGCACCAACACAAACATCGTTTTTGCATCGTAGAACAACTTCAATTTCACTTTGATCCACAGCAGATTCAAGAACAGAACGGGTAAGATTTTATCTCTCATCCTTGATTTCTATTTGCAGTTTACAAATAAGAGTGTGGGCTCCCTATGCTGAAGCTTTGTTTAAAGGGGGTAAGAGTTTGTGCATGCCGCATTATTATCAACAGGTAGACTATTCTACAGCAGCGAACCTTTGTAGCTGAACCGGTTTTTACATAATTGGTAAGGTTCAGTGGAATAGCTAGTTTGTAATTGGAATCCCTGAGAGAGTAACTGGAGACTTTTGTTCTGAAGAAAACAAAAAATTCAAATATTGCGGAACAAGGCCATTAAGAGACTTATAAACCATAGTCACAGCTTTAATTTTCTGTTGAGCCTCTACCTTTTTCCAGGCTAAGGATGTAAAAAGATTGTCATAAGAAGAGAACACTGGCATCTTAAGGAGAAACGTTCAATATACAAGCGGCGCGATTTCGAAGTGTTTGCAGTTTAGTTGCAAGGGATTTTGTAGCAATTCCCAAAACAGTGCTACAATAATCAAAATATGGTTGCACTAGGGCATTATATATAGTTGAAACCACTTCAAATGTAGTGCTCTCAACTATATATAATACACTAGTGCAACTATATCTTGATTACAAGGGGAAACAAGGTCTTACAAGGGTTACAAAAGGTTACAGGGGGCTACAAGGGGTTACAGGAGGTTACAAGGGGTTAAAAGGGGTAGCAGAGGGTTACAAGAGGTTAGGAGGGTTGCAAGGGGTCACAATTGGTTAAAGGGGGTTACAGGGAGTTACAAGGGGTTACAGACGGTTACAAGAGATTACAGGGTGTTACAAGGACTTACAGGGGGTTACAAGAGGTTACAAGCCGTTATATGGGGTTACAGGGAGTTACAAGGGGTTCCAGAAGATTAGAAGGGGGTTACAGGTGGTTACAAGACGTTACGAGGAAATACAAGGGGACAGACGGTTACAGAGGGTTATAAGTTGTTGCAAGTGGTTACAGGGGGTTACAAGGGGTTACAGTGGGTTACAAGGGGTTACAGTGGGTTACAAGAGGTTACGGGGGGTTACAAGGGTTTACATGTGTTTAAAGGGGTTTACAGGAAGTTACAAGGGGTTACAGAGGGTTACAAGAGATTACAGGGTGTAAGAAGGAATTACAGGTGGTTAGAAGAGGTTATAAGCCGTTATATGGGTTTATATGGGTTACAAGGGGTTGCAGGAGATTAGAGGGGGTTTAGAATTGGTTACAGTGGGTTACAAGAGGTTACAACAACAACAACAACGAGCTTTATTTGCATGACCATACAAACACATACAGCAGTGCAAAAGCTATGTTTAGGAATTAAAATTACAACACGGGGCAATTACGTTACTTTGATAATAATTCTTCACGGACATCAAAAACAAGCTGAAATATATTTTATGAATTGTATATTGATAAAGTAATTAGAAGAGTTCATCGGTTCATTGATCAAAACGTTTATAGGTAACTGGGTAATATTTGGAATCAGAGTCTTGACTTTATAGTTAAATTTGTTCCTAATCATAGAGTATGTAGGACATTGAAAGAGAAAGTGAACTTCGTCTTCTATTACATTGCATCCACAAAAAGGGCAATGCCTATTATCATTCGTAATTTGATCGTATCTGCCTATTTCTATCACTAGTTTGTGATTGCTTATTCGTAGTTTTACTAAAGCCTTTCTCCCAGCTGTTCCTCTTGTTAAGTCCAAGTAACTAGAGGAGGTATGATCGGTTTTAAAAGATCTATAAAATTCAAGTTTTTGAGAATGTTGAAGGGTGTTTTGCCAATATGGGATATAATTCCTGTTTCATTGAACTTACGTAGCTTTTTACCATGGCTATATCTAATAAGTCAGGGTTAAGTCAGGAAGCTTAAAATATTCTGACATATTCATTAAATGAGAGTGGAAGCTATTTTTGCCATTACAGTGTGACATTAAAAAAGCTTGATTGATAGATAGATAGATAGATAGATAGTTTATTAAAATATCGAACATGGCAGTCCGTAGACTGAATTGCGTTACAATTACTTAAAACTAAGATTAAATAAATTCCAAAAATATAAATACTAATTGAAATTATAACAAAAAACATTTCTATTGTCCCTGGTTGTTCTATAACAACCAGGGACCAAGCTTGGTCCCCTGTGGCACCCCGGCAGGGACTAGGCCCCACTCTGACCGGCAGTCTGATGACAGCTTGACACGTTGTTTCCTGTCTGACAGAAAATCCAGCACCCAAACGCGAACCCACCGTGGCATGTCCAAGGCTTCGATCTTTCTGGCCAACAGATTGTGATCAATAAGATCGAAAGCCTTACGATAGTCGA